CTGAATATTGCCCAAGAGCCCCTGGTACAGTTTTTGAAGACCCATTGAGAGCTTCCTACAAAGCCTTTTTTCCTACTCCCCCTGCAAGGAAGAGACAAAGTGCTGCGACAGAGAGCCCGCATTGGCAGTCATGGTAACCTTCACCTCCCCTGATCGGGACTGAGCTTATCAATATGCTCATCACCACATGGGACCACATCCCACCAAGACTTCACCCAAGTCAGAAGGAAATGACTTCGGCCAAACTGCAATGTATCCCGGGCCCAGTCGACGAGCGCTGCGCTCTCCTCGCATCACGACATTGAGAAACAGTAACTCGGTTAATCGTGTGCCAATCTACCACTACCACGAAACAAACAAATTCCAGCTAGAAGGCATACACTTCACGATGACATACTACACGCAATGTAACGCTATCTTCCTTTGGGACAACCTCTGGTCAGCGGGCCGAGGCTTGAGGCTCTGAGCCCTAATGGTCTGCTATAGAGAGTCGCACGACGGGAACTTCGTGCTGTCAACGGGACCGATCTATCCGAGGAAGTTGGTCGAGGACATTCACGATTGGACTGGGCTGCTGTCTGAGAGCAGTGGTCAAGTGAAGCGGGACGAAGATCCTCACCGTCCGAGCAGAGGCAACTGTGGAGCGCGCAGAGGGAGGTGGGAAGGAACACCCAGAGAAGGCCGACGAGGGTTTGATTGGAGTACTCCTGGCAGAGGGTAGCCTGAGAAAGGACCGTACTACTTGAGGTGACTATCAGTCAAGGAGACATTCGATAATCACGTTCACCCGTCCCAAGGCCATCACCACATTCACTACGCTCACCATTTCGCCGTGTGTTACGAAGAACCAGAAAAATACGTATAGATATTACCGGTATACTACTTTCCCTGTAGAAGTGTATTAGGATTCCGCTGTGGCTGTTTTATTTCCGTGAATTCTATAAGTTCCTCTAACAAGTCAATGAAGCCTCCGCCAATTCCAGCCTGGTCTACAGCAGCGGCCGCTCTCACTGTCGAGAACGATTGACTGGTCAAAGACGTTAGACCTTCACGAGGGGACTTAGCCAGGACGAACGAGTCCTCCGCCTGTGAGAAATATGGAGTTGCCACTTTAGTCAAGTTCCGCTTTGGTACCCCTAGGGACGATAGTGACGAGTGGATCGACCCTCTCCTGCTCGGTGGGTCGAGCTTACGACTTGATGACTGTGGAGCTACGCCAGGCATAATG